CCTGGGCACAAGTGATGCTCCCTCCTCAGCCTCCCAAAGTGCTGGGATTACAGGCATAAGCCACCGCACCCAGCTGAAGTAGGTCATTTTTTAAAGAATTTATGGAAAATGTCCCTTTTGAAGTAGCAAGTAGAAAAAAATCTTAGCACAAGATGTTTATCACAGTATTGCTTTTAGTAACAAAAAATTGGAAAACAACATAATGTATAATAATAGTAGCTAATATGTATTGCGTGTTTAGTATGTGCCAGGCACTATTGTAAGTGCTTTACATGGATTACCGTACTGTTTTTATATTTTACAGCTGAGGAAGCTGAAGTGCAGAGTAAATTTTGGTATGGTAGAATGAAATACCAAAGAGCCATTAGAAGTTTTTGTGTAGATCTTTCTTTAGGATCACTGAAAAACATACTCTTTTTTGAGACAGTCTCGCTCTTATTGCCCAGGCTGGAGTGCAGTGGTGTGATCTCAGCTCACTGCAACCACGGCCTCCCGGGTTCAAGCCATTCTCCTGTCTCAGCCTCCCAACTAGCTGGGATTACAGGTGTCTGCCACCATGCCTGGCTAATTTTTGTATTTTTAGTAGAAACGGGGTTTCACCATGTTGGCCAGGCTGGTCTTGAACTCCCAACCTCAGGTAATCCACCCACCTCGGCCTCCCAAAATGCTGGGGTTACAGGCATGAGCCACCACGCCCAGCTGAAAAATATACTGTTACATTAAGTTTTTTAAAAAACAGATTTTGGAACAGTATGATTTCATTTATGTAAACCTATATACTGTTAAATAAAATTTATAGGAGGCCAGTGCAGTGACTGATTCCTGTAATCCCAGCACTTTGGGAGGCCAACGCAGGAGGATTGCATAAGGCCAGGAGTTTGAGGCCAGCCTGGGCAACATAGTGAGGCCTCGTCTCTACAAAAAAAATTTAAAAATAAATTAAAAAATAAATAAAATGTGCAGACCATTGGTTTGTTTATTATTTATTTGAAACAGGGTCTTGCTCTGTTGCCCAAATTGGAGTGCAGTAGCACAACCACAGCTCACTGCAGCCTCAACCTCATGGGCCCCACCTCAACCTGGCTAATTTTTTTTAATTTTGTAGAGACAGGCTTTCCCTGTGTTGTCCAGGCTGATCTCAAAACTCCTGGCTCAAAGCAATTCTCCCTCTTCGACCTTACAAAGTGTGGGGATTATAGGTGTGAGCCACTGCACCAGCCAAGACCACTGGTTTGAACTGAGCTCCTGCACTAGCCCCACAGATGAAACCAAAATGGAGTTACTCATGGTGATGTTCCATGATGCCACCAAGCGAGAACCAAGATCTGTATCTGATCTCTGAAATACCCAGCAGAGAGATAATAACCATATCCCCAGACAGGCCGCTTTTAACCAGCAAAAGGCAGTGCCCTCTGCTTTAACCTTTACAAGGAAAGTAATCTTTCTATTATTTATTTATTTATTTATTTTGAGACGGGAGTCTGGCTCTATCGCCCAGGCTGGAGTGCGGTGGCGCAATCTCCACTCACTGCAAGCTCTGCCTCCCGGGTTCACGCCATTCTCCTGCCTCAGCCTCCCGAGTAGCTGGGATTACAGGTGCCCGCCACCACGCCCGGCTAGTTTTTTTGTATTTTTAGTAGAGACGGGATTTCACTGTGTTAGCCAGGATGGTCTCGATCTCCTGACCTCGTGATCCACCCGCCTCAGCCTCCCAAAGTGCTGGGATTACAGACCTGAGCCACCATGCCCGGCCCCTGCTTTTTATTTTCTATTTCTGCTTTCCTCAGGTCTTTTCCATCAACAAAGCCACCTCCTCTGCTCAGTTGATTGGATTTTATAGAATGAGATGTTGCCCTATTCTGGAATCACAAATAAAAGTCAATTAAGATCTTTAAACTAAATTTGTTGTAATTTTGTATTTTGACAGTTCATATGTCAAATAGCAATATCCAGAAAGATGTTTATTAAGATGGTAAGTGCTTGAATAGTTTCTCTTTTTGTATTTTTCTACATGATTTGAATTAAAGTGACCATATGTCAATTTAATAGAAGCAAAAACATTTTTAAAGAAAAAATAACATTTAAAGTTTTCAGGTACCATTTTTAAAAAATAATTTTTATTAATTTTATCAGCAAATGAAACGGAAACATAAGTAAATAAAGCAACTAGCAATTTTAAAATAAAGGTGACCAGGCACGGTGCTCACACCTGTAATCCCAGCAATTTGGGAGGCTGAGGCAGGCAAATCACTTAAGGTCAGGAGTTTAAGAGCAGCCTGGCCAACATGGTGAAACCCCATCTCTATTAAAAATACAAAAATTAGCCAGGCATGGTGCTGCATTTTTGTAATCCCAGCTGCTCAGGAAGCTGAGATGGAAGAATTGCTTGAACCTGGTAGGCGGAGCTTGCAGTGAACCAAGATTGCGTCGCTGCCCTCAAGCCTGGGCCACAGGGTGAGACTCAGTCTCAAAAAGTAAGTAAGTAAATAAATAAATAAATAAATAAATAAATAAATAAATAAATAAAGGTGAAATATCGACTGTTTTCCAAATGTCTTGAATTTACTAAAGCTATGCTATTACTTCACTACCATTTAAAAATTATTTCTCTTTGTTTTTTTCAGTTTCTCAATATTCCTAACACAACTTTATTTCTGGATTTTTTTTTTTTTTTGAGACAGAGCCTTGCTGTGTCTCCCAGGCTGGAGTGCCCAGATTCAAGTGATTCTCTTGCCTCAGCCTCCTGAGTAGCTGCGATTACAGGCATGCACCACCACACCCGGCTAATTTTTGTATTTTTAGTAGTGATGAGGTTTCACCATATTGGCCACATTTGTCTCCACCTCCTGACCTCTAGTGATCCGCCCATCTCAGCCTCCCAAAGTGCTGGGATTACAGGCGTGAGCCACCACGCCTGTCCTATTTCTGTTTTTTAACAAGCGAAACTGAAGTGTCTTCCTTTCATCAAAGCTTATGGGGTGATTTAAATGAGATAAAAGTAGTACATGGTCTTAAAATGGCTCTAGTTAATTCAAGTTGAGCCTCCTTGTTTAGGTAAAACTTCCATTTATTTCAGTCATCTATCTATATCAGTGTTTCCCAAACATCTTAGGAAATCACCTGGGACTCCTGTAAAAATAAGAAGGCCACTCTCCACTCAACAGCTACTGAATCAGGCTGTTGGGAGAGATAAGTGACTTTTAAAGTACAGCTCACATTTGTGAACCCCTCTGCGTAGCAAGAGCACCCTACTGGAAAGAAATATAATGTATTCCACATTGCAACAGTGTAGAGTTTCTAGGTATTTGATAACAAGGCCTTATAACAACTTTTGATTCAGTTGCATGGCTTCCTGGTTTCTGCAATTTCAGCGCACAGGGACAAATTTCGAGATTGTTATGGATGCCTCCCTCAACCTCTGCCTTCCAGTTTCTACCATTTCTTTTTAAAATACTTGGCCCCAAGAAATTATCCATTTCCAGACTTTATGCAATCTCCAAAAAAAAAGTTTAAAAAAGTTTAAAGCATGTTTTTACATTGAGACTTGTAGGTCCTTTGTTTGTTTGTTTGTTTGTTTCTTAATAGCACCAGCCCCTGCAGGGTTTTATTTATTTATTTATTTATTTATTTATTTATTTATTCAGTAGAGACCTTGTCTCCCTATGTTGCCCTGGCTGGTCTCGAACTCCTAGGCCCAAGCAATCCTCCTGCCTCAGCCTCCCTACAGTGCTGGGATTATAGGCATTAGTCACCCTACCTGGCCAAGACTTGTAGATCCTTTAAAATGAAACTTTGATCTTTATTTAAATATACTCTGACAGCAAAAGGGTTAAACAACTGTGGCTCATTCCATTATCCCTGAAAGGAACACAAGAACTTCAAGGAATTAGGTAACACACAAAAGAACCTATATTTAATATGACTCAAAGACTTGAAGATCATAAGATTAGAGAGTAGACCTTCCTGTTTATGTCTCGAGGGCATTTTCTAAGAGAAATCACCATGGAATCTCATAAAATATTGAGAGCAATTTTTTGTTACGCATCCTTTCTCTTCCTTCCTTTGCCATTATAAAACCTCTCTTCCCTATCCCTTTGATCAGATGGAATCGTCTGAGTCTTTGCAGGTAAGCAACTGAAATTTGCTTTCTATACGAAGTTCATTAGAATGAAATATTTATCATTTTGTGTATTCTGTGTGGCTTAGGCAAGGTTAGGAGTTAGTGCATAATATAATTTTTGCTCAGAAGAGAATGAAGTGTTTCATATTTAAAGCTATTCAGTCTTAACTACTTTCCTTTTCATTATGAATTATTATATGTTTTTAAACATAAAAAGATATGTAACAACTAGACTGACTATTATTAGGAAACAGGTGAAGAGGTGAATGTTCAAAGAATGCTAACGATTTTTGTGTCAAGAAGGTGAATGAGTCATTGTATAAAGAGGTATAAAAGAAATACAGATCACAGATTAGAAAGTTTCTTTTTTAAAAGAAACAATAGAGTGCTTTGTGCCAAAAGCTGATTATCACTAATGCTTCATATAAAATTGGATAGAAAAAAGCAACAGTTTTATGCTTTGAACTAATTTGTCACCTTGGATGTCACAGGATATGAAACCCATAACTTTCACAAAAGCAAGAGTTCATTTTCACTGCCTTTTCAAATGTTTGGGCATTGCAATTGAAATGATTTTATTACTATTTAGAAATTTAAAAACATTTCACCATTTTCCTAGTGTTTTCTGTTTGTCTGGTTTGGTTTTTCTGAGACAGGGTCTCCCTCTGTCACCCAGGCTGGAGTACAGTAGTGTCATCTCGGCTCACTGCAACGTCTACCTCCCAGGCTCAAGCAATCTCCCACCTCAGCCTCCCAAAGTGTTGAGATTACAGGTGTGAGCCACTGTGCTTGGCCAAGGTTTTTTTTTTAAGTCAGAGTGAAAACCCAAACCAGTGCAAAAAAATTTTTTTAGTGAACCTGAATGTCAGAACTTAAATTCAAAGAAATATAGATGATTTTTTAAAAAACAATCTGCAGTTACAAGTTCTTTAAAAATCAAACAGAAGTACCCTCACAAAATCATGTCTTGTTTATGATGAAACAGATACTTCCTTTATCTGACGTCAAGTGACTAACTTATTGTTTCCCTCAGAAAGCCTCTTGACTAAGGTTTCCCCTTGTCTTTATATTTCCTTAGCAAAAGGTGTCTGTGACTATTCACTTTCAGAGAAAGAAGAAAAGCAGAAAAGAGAATGCACGTCTTAAGATGCTAAGGGACAGGGGATTGAAATAGCCTGGAAAATGTTCAGAAAGAATGCCAACAAATCAAATGTTCACCTGGGGCTTGGGAAGAAAGAAAAGAAAAATCAATATGCAGTCAAAGAGTGGTCTTATTTTTCTAGAAAGTGACTCTCCAGAAAAGCTCCAAGGAAGCTCTCCCTTAACACCTCTGACATTCCAGAGACTGTCCTAAACTCCGGTATTCAGCTTCTGTCTGGAAATCAGACTTATCTTCAAGTCTTCCTTCATACAGGAAAAATGCATGTGGCAGTGGTAGCAGTTAACGTGATATTGCTCCTAAGCATGGGGTGGACGTCAGACTCTCTCTGCTCACCCACAGTTTTTTACAGAGACTGCTGGATCCGTCGCTTCCCAGGTCTTCTAATCGATCTGGAGGAGTCTCAGAAGCTGGGAGCCCAGTTCTTGAAGTATTATTCTGAAAGCACTGGCCAGAAGTGCAGTAGGAGCTGCTGTCTTCGGAAGGATGGTAAGTAGTCATGATATGCTTGGGCAAAAATAAGACGAAACTTCCAAGGATGAAGCCCTAAGTGAGGAGTCCTAGGCAGAGGCCAGTAAACAGTTGTAAAGGACTAGAGAAGATGCCCTGGGGTGTGGGAGAGAGAGATAGAGGAAAAAGAGCCAGTGAAACTGATTTCACAGTCTGGGCCAGAGCAGGCTCTATTTACATTCTAATAATGACCCAAAATTCAATAGAACCTACAGGAAACAGAATCCTCTTTTCTTCACCAAAATGCTAAATGAAAATATTTCCCCTAAGGTTAATTTACAATATTTTTACAGCTCAAAATATATATGATTTTTAAAATATTTATTTCTCATTTTATTTTAAATGTTTAGAGGCAGAGTCTCACTATGTTGCCTAGGCTGGTCTCAAACTCCTGGACTCAAGCGGTCCTCCTGTCTCAGCCTCCCAAAGTGCTGGGATTACAGATGTGAACCACTGCACCCAGTCAAATATTTATTATAATTTCCCTTTCAAAGTACATTTTGGTGATATTAGTATCATATCAAATTTTTTTTATGTGCTGAGTCAGGTGCAGTGGCTCATGCCTGTAATCTCAGAATTTTGGGAGGCCAAGGTGGGTGGATCACCTAAGGTCAGGAGTTGGAGACCAACCTGGCCAACATGGTGAAACCCCCTCTCTACTAAAAATACAAAAATTAGCCAGCGGTGGTGGCAGGCACCTATAATCCCAGCTACTCGGGAGACTGAGTCAGGAGAACTGCTTGAACCCGAGGTTGCAGTGAGCCGAGATCGCACCAGTGCACTCCAGCCTGGGCAACAGAGTGAGACTCCCATCTCAAAATAAATAAATAAATAATAAAAAGATTACTTTCCTTGTAAAGGTTAAAACAGAGGGCACTGCCTTATGCTGGTGTGATTCTGTCACACACACACACACACACACAAAACTAAAATGTGCTGACTTGGGTTTACCAAATGTGGAATATATTAAAAAAGAATTTAGAGTGTGATTCATGTTTTGAAAGAAATGGGGAGATATATGTCAAATACCCACCCCAAAATCATATTTCCAAATATTCCTCATAAATGTTTTGTCTGTCATATGGAATCTGCATGTAGACTTCATCCATATAATATGATCAAGACCTGCAATTAGGAATGTTTATTTTATTATTGCAGGATTTCAAGTTATAATTGCCTAAAGACTTCTTTCATTTCTTTTTCATTTTTCCAAGATTTTAAAGCTACTTGAAAAGAAACAGCAAAAGCAGCACGGCACTTTAAAATAATTCCCTTGGTTGTTCCACACTTTCTTTCCATGGATCCGTATCAACTTGTTAACTTCCAATGCCTCTTGCCCAATTATGTAAGATTTTTGTGTGTGTTAAGATTATGTATGTAAGATTTTTGAGATGAAAATTGGAGCTACAATAATTAATTTAATACGAGGAAATCTTTTCGAAAAGATAGCCAATCCAGATTTCCACCTTCCAGATGCTTCTAACTCCCATAAGTCTTCACTGAGAGGAGACGGCGGAGGGGCAGTACATTTTTTTGCATTTTCCCTTAGCATGAATTTACCTGACTCCACAGCAGAGAAGCTGTGGCCTTTGGACTGTCGGGGATACTGTAAGCATACAGGGCAATCCCATGATTTTAGAGCCCCTGTAACTTCCCAGTTGTGACTTTCTTCCTTCAGAACGAGAAAAACAGGAAGGCACATTCCAGTTATTAGCTGGAAGCCATAACTTTAAAATGCCACAATCCTGCTCAGAGCTGGAATGCTGAAATATATACAAGGAATATAAAACACGTTTCAAAATTGTCCTCTACAGAATCAACTACTTTCTCATCAGAAACTTAAAAGTCTTAAGTTTGAATAGTTTTTCTTTCCCTTCAACTTTACAGCACAGTTCTCAGGGAATGTATTTGTAATGTGTAATGTATTAGCAATGTATTATTAACTAATTTTTGTCTTATTCTTTCTCCTGGAAAAATAGAGTGCAGCAACATGAGGATGTCCTAGAAGTAACGATGGAGATGTAACTCCTCACAGTTCACCTTACACAAAAGCAGTACAGGTTCTGCAAGCAGCAGATCCACAGCTTTAGGCATGCTTTGAGGTCTGGTGATCAGACGCTAGCCCTCTGTAATCTTATTTTATTAAAGAGATTGATACCTTGGCGGGTAGCTCATGCCTGTAATCCCAGCACTTTGGGAGGCCAAGGCAGGCAGATCACTTGAGGTTAGGAGTTTGAGAGCAGCCTGGACAACATGGTGAAATCCGTCTCTACCAAAAATACAAAAATTAACCAGGTGTGGTAGTGCACCCCTGTAATCCCAGCTACTCAGGAGGCTGAGGCAGGAGAATCACTTCAACCCAGGAGGCAGAAGTTGCATTGAGCCGAGATTGCACCACTTTGCTGCGGTCTGGGTGACTGAAAAAAAAAAAAAATAAAAATAAAAATAAAAAAGCTGATACCTTTTGGCCAATGGATATTTCATATCACATGGTCTCTACTGCACTGTAGCAGAAGTAAAATCTATGTTGCACTTTTGTGAGGGTAGACTGAAGATTTGCATTACACAAATCTGTTTCAGATTTTCCAGAAGTAAGGAAATTTTTTTCTTTTTAACTCTTCTCTTCCTCTGTCAGAGAACATTTTCTTTTTCTTTTTCTTCTCCTTCTTCTTCTTTTTTTTTTTTTTGAGACAGAGTCTTATTCTTTTGCCCAGGCCAGAGTGCAGTGGCGCGATCTCAGCTGACTGCAACCTCCGCCTCCTGGGTTCAAGTGATTCTCGTGCCTCAGCCTCCTGAGTAGCTGGGGTTACAGGTGCGTGCCACCATGCCCAGCCAATATTTGTAATTGTTTTTTTAGTAGAGATGATGTTTTGTCAAGTTGGCCAGGCTGGTCTCGAACTCCTGACCTCAAGTGATCCGCCACCTTGGCCTCCCAAAGCTCTGAGATTACAGGTGTGAGCCACTGCGCCTGGCCAGAGAGCATGTTTTAAAAAGCAAATTTGCTTAGAGAAGGAAAGACAGCATGAGCCAGTAGTGTGTCCCCACCTGCTAGAATTCTACCTGCTAGCATCTCTGCCTGTCCAGTCCCTGCCTCTTTAAATGACACTGATTAGGCTTTTCTTTGGATGTGGTTTTACATCTGGGGAGAGTGCACACCTGCAGTCAGGGCAAGGTGATGCTCACACAGCCTGTGGCCTTTCCACCATCTGGGCCGTTCAGGTATTACTCTTTTGCCCTTCCCACTACTGCCTCTTCTTTACAGCATTTGTCCTTGTATTTTCCTATTTCTTTCTCTGGTGACTCCCAGCCCCTTAGTATTCTGAGAGGACACTGTGCCTAGAAACCTGATGTGTAAATCCCCAGGGTTTTTTGTTTTGTTTTGTTTTGTTTTTGAGACAGAGTTTCGCTCTTGTTGCCCAGGCTAGAATGCAATGGCGCGATCTCGGCTCACTGAAACCTCCACCTCCCGGGTTCAAGCAATTCTCCTGCCTCAGCCTCCCAAGTAACTGGGATTACAGGAATGCGCCACCACGCCTGGCTAATTTTGTGTTTTTAGTAGAGACTGGGTTTCTCCATGTTGGTCAGGCTGGTCTCGAACTCCTAACCTCAGGTGATCTGCCCCACTCAGCCTCCCAAAGTGGTGGGGTTACAGAGATGAGCTACCACGCCAGGCCCCCAGAGGTTTTTGTAGCTAATCTAACTTTTCATGAACACAAAATTCTGGGGCCAGGAAATAATGAATGATTCCAAATATCCTGTGTGGGATGGAAAGTATGAAAGATTACTTTGAGAAAATCTGTATTTTCTTTAAAAAGGCATTTTCTGGCTGGGTGGGATGGCTCCTCCCTGTAATTCCAGCTTTGCGGGAGGCAGATGGCTTGAGCTCCGGAGTTTGAGACAAGTCTGGGCAACATGGTGAAACCCTGCCTCTACAAAAAATACAAAAATTAGCCCAGCATGGTGATGTGGGCCTCTAGTCCCAGCTATTTGGGAGACTGAGGTGGAAGGATTGCTTGGACCCGGAAGGTCTAGGCTGCACTGAGCTGTAATCGCACCACTGCACTCCAGCCTGAGTGACAGAGCGAGACCCTGTCTCAAAAAAATTTTTTTAAAAAGTATTTTCCATATTCACAGAAGCAGTTACAATAGTTTATAAATGTTCTGCAAAATGTCTGCACATTGCCCTGAAAAATACTGTTAATCCAGTATTCCTGAAACAAATATAAGTTACTCAGAGTTCATGAAACTGGTGGAAATTGAGACCATCCACAGATGTACTTTGCTTGTTTCCCTTTCAGTTTCCTGTAACCTGGCTGTCTTCTACCACGATCCTATTCATGACAATATCAACTGCCTCCATGTTCACTGCCCAACACTGGAGAGCTGCATATTAGAGCCTGGAACCAGTGCCATTTTGTACAACATAACAGATGGTAATGATTACATATTTCAAGACTTTTAAAGAATGCTGGCAATACTCTAGTAGAGGCATATAGCTGAGAAACTGGCTGGCAACAGTCATATGTGAGTCCCTAGAATCATTATTTCCAGTGAACTTTGGAAAAATTTTGCATATCTAGGACAGAAAACTGAAAGAAAATTCTCTTTAGTTTAATGTTTAGCAATTAGTTCACTCCAGATTATAAATGATACATGATTGAACAAGAGTTTACCCACTGTACTTCATGAATCTCAAGAACTCTTAGTAAAGCTAAAGGAAGGGTTTCTCAGCCGGGCACAGTGACTCATGCCTGTTATCCCAGCACTTTGGGAGGCCAAGGCGGGCAGATCACGAGGTCAAGAGATCGAGACCATCCCGGCCAACATGGTGAAACCCTGTCTCTACCAAAAATACAAAAATTAGCTGTGCGTGGTGGCATGTGCCTGTAGTCCTAGCTACTCAGGAGACTGAGGCAGGAGAATCACTTGAACCTGGGAGACGGAGGTTGCGGTGAGCTGAGATCGCGCCACTGCACTCCAGCCCGGTGACAGAGCAAGACTCCGTCTCGAAAAAAAAAAAGAAAGAAGCGTTTCTCCTGCAGTGGCTGAGGGTGCCACTAGGAGATAAAGAACATGCTAAATGGCAGTTCTGAGATCCAATGGACACTGCATACAGGATTCTGAGAAGAGGGATGTCACGTTCAGGGAAACTTACCACCGTGTGCTAACATACATTAGCATATCATTGGTCCCAAGATAACCAGTGTATTTTATTTTAGAAATATAAGTGTTTTGTGCCCATTTATGTAATCTCAGGGTGTAAATTACTGACCATAAAAGAAGAGATTTTTGCCATCAAAATGCAAAGGAGATAAATTTCTTATCAATTTGTATGTATTGAACACCTGATGCTCCAGGCTAGAATCAACACTGTGGAAGATCGCAGCCATATCTCTGCCCTCAAGCTCCTTTATAATCTAGTAGATGTGACAGATCTTACAATTAGTGTTAAGACACAACTAAATACAGAAATGTGTGAAGCTGTCTCAGTGCAAAGTTTCAAAGAAGGGGAGGCTAGTGAAAGTCAGTGTATTCAGAGCAGGTTCATGGAAGAAGGCAGGCAGAAGAATATGAGTTCTATATTATGCCACAGGAGAGTAAGCAAACAGGTCTGGACACAATAAGGAGACATGTAATTGCAATGAAAATATGGCTAAGATAAGGTAGGGACAGGTATCATAAGGGCCATGGACAGAGTAGAGTTTTGGTTTGACTTTGTCTGAAACAGACAACAAGGGCATTTAATGAAAAAACATGTGAAGTGATATCTATTTGTCCTAGTCCACACTTATATGCAGGTACAGATTAGAAAATCTAGTCAGGGAAGCATTAAAGTCTGCACAAAGTGACTGTAGTTGAAATGAAGAGAAGGGATAATTATCAGAGCATTGGGAAGGTTGAATAAGGACTTAGTCACCTTTTTAATGAAAGGAAATGAAGTGAGTGGAGTCAAAATCACTTTGCAGGCCCAAGTGCAGTGACTCACACCTGTAATTCCAGCACTTTGGGAGGCTGAGGCAGGAGGATCGCTTGAGCCCAGGAATTCGAGACCAACCTGAACATCATAGAGAGACCCCCATCTCTACAAAAAAAAATTAGCCAGGCAAGGTGGTGTGTGCCTGTGGTTGGTTCCAGGTACTCATGAGGCTGAGGTGGAAGGATCACTTGAGCCCAGGAGCTCAAGGTTACAGTTAGTTATGATTGCATGATCACACTCCAGCCTGACTGACAGCTGTCTCTTAAAAAAAAAATCACCTTACAGTGCAGATTTCAGTGTGGGTGATGGAGGAATGATGATGCCAATGAAGGAGACAAGGAGGCAGAGGTAATAATTTTGGCTTTGGGCATATTAAGAGATGATGTAAGAGGTCCAGATGGAAACCTCCAATAGAAGACTGGATAAATGAGATCAGAACTCAAGAAAGAGGGGAAAACATAGTGATATGGGTTTCAATGCCATTGATGTAGTGGTGCCAATTGAGCATGATCTCTTTGTGTGTGTTGGAGGGGAGGGGGCGGTGAAGAGAAAATACATCTGAAAACCAAGGACTGAAGATTATGGAAACCACACAAGCAATGAGATTGTACAAGAGAACCAGCAAAAGAAAGTGAAAATGAGAGGCAGTGGGGGAAAATGCCAAGGGGGTCCAAGGTCCAGGGAGTCATGGGAGAAGAATTCAAGAAGGTGGCTGGTAGCATCAAGGACAAGAGAGAAGTCAAAGCAAGGTGACGTGAGTGATCAGGAAGTAAGGAAACACTTGACTACCTCAGAAGCAATGGATGCTGGCGTGTTTGCACGGGGGTGGGGGGTGGTGGAGAGAGAGAGAGAGAGAGAGAGAGAGAGAGAGAGAAGTCACCAGCAGGGACCACTGGAAAGCTGTTGACAATTTTTTCTCTTCTATAAAGACAAAGCAGTATTTGTTCATGTCTGAAGTTAGAGGGAAAGGAGTTAGTATACAAGGGAGAAAATACTAAAGACAAAGCAAGACCCTCAGAGGTCAAAAAGGGATGAGACTTAAGGCTTTGCTCATGATTTTGCTTATAGTCACCCTTCTCAGGCCCTATTTTGCTTAACTTGATTTAAAGACACTATATTGCTGAGTGCGGTGGCTCCTGCCTATAATCCCAGTACTTTGGGAGGCCGAGGCGGACGGATCGCTTTAGCTAACAAGTTCGAGACCAGTCTGGGCAACATGGCGAAACTCTATCTCTACAAAAAAACAAACAAACAAACAAACAAAAAACAAAAATTAGCTGGGCGTGGTGGCGCATGCCTGTAATCCCAGTTACTCAGGAGACTGAGGTGAGAGGATTGCTTGAACCCGGGAGGCAGAGGTTGCAGTGAGCCGAGACCGCACCACTGCACTCCAGCCTGGGTGACAGGGCAAGACCCTGTCTCAAAAAAAAAAAATAAATAAATAATAAACGCTATATTGTATCTCAAATGGTTACTGTTTCTGCAGCTCTCAAAGTAACACTCACTATTGTACAAAAACCCTGACAGACACAAAGCCTTCTCCTTGGGTGTAGTCAAATTTGTTCATTTAAAAAAAAGTGTTTTAGAAAGTTAAGATAAATTCAAATGTAGCCAGTATGTCTGGAAACCTTTGAGAAGAATGTGCTAGTAGAACGTGAATTTAGCTTTGTTCAGTAACTCACAGTGGCAAAAGCCAATCCTTTCTCCAAACTGTGCTTTAAGGTTTTTGCTTTGAAAGTAAAAATAAAATGAATGATGCCTTATTTATTTTTCAGGTATAGATCCAGATTTGCTGGTTTTCGAACAATCTTCCACATATCTCAATACTCGTTCTTCATCCAAGAGATGGGACGGACTAAGGATTCTAAAAGCTATGAATTTAGATAAACAAACCACCATGATAAATGGTGTGCTGCCATCCACAGAGGCTCCGTCCTCAACCACACATCAAGATTTGGTTGTAAACACAAACAGTACCAGTTATTCTAAGGAATTAACCACAGATTTTTGGGCAAGATTTACTTCCCTGAATGACTCCATTACCGCAAAGATAAATATGGTGTCACCAAATACTGATTTCATCAGCAATCCAGATAATAAGACTATTTCTCCTTTCTTTGTACCCATAGACACAAAACTTTCTCATATGCCTATTCCACCCCTACTCAACAGTAGCAAGCAATTCCTGAATAAAACCAAAGGATACAACAGCAGAAACCACACATCTGCGAATGAAGATGAGGTATCTGTGACTTCAAAGGCTTGGCCGGTTTCTGTGGCCCTTTGCACCTCTGTCATCTTCCTTGGCTATTGTATAGTCATCCTAGCATCTGGATGCTGTGGAAAGCAGCAGGGCCACTGTAAACTGAGACAGAGAAAATCAGGATCCTAGCAAATTAAAAATCGTAACCATGTGAAGGAGAACTCTTCATAGCAAAAGCTGTAGCAAGATTATATGCTTTAAAGGATATCATTTTTAGTTTTGTGTAAGAAAGGGCAGTTTAGTGGAAAAAAAAAATTGGTCTGGGCGTGGTGGTTCATACCTGTAATCCCAACACTTTGGGAGGCCAAGGCAGAAGAATTGCTTGAGCCCAGGAGTTGGAGACCAGCCTGGGCAACATAGTGAGACCCTGTCTCTATAAAATAAAAAATAAAAAAAAATAGCACATGGGGCCACCTGTGGTCCCAGCTACTCAGGAGGCTGAGGTGAGAGGACTGCTGCCGCAGTGAGCAGTGATTGCACCACCGCACGCCAGCCTGGGCAACAGAGCCAGACCCTGTCTCAAAAGAAAAAATAGGATGCGCACTCCTACCAATCTGTGAAAAAAAGAAAAAAAGGCTAATGCTTGGTAAACATAATGCTTTTTTCGTTGTTATTTCTATTTTTTGAGTAGTGTTCCCTCTGCCAGAGTTGCAAAATTCTGATCCTTACAGTTGTTACTGAGTGAGACACACTGTTTGAGTGCTTTAGGGGCATGAACTCACTGAATCCTTCCAAACCTGAGAGGTGGGTATCCTGCTGTTAACCATGATACTATTATCACATTTTACAGACGAGGCAACTGAGGTGAAGAGAGGTTAAGCATCTTCCCTAAAGACACACAAGTATTAAGTAGTGAAGTCAGGACTTAATTAAACACAGGCAGTCTGGTTCAAGTCCATGTTCAAAATCACTGTTAGACTAAAAGTGTATGTTTTCCCAAAAACCACAAAAAAAAAACAATACCAGGAAGAAAACACCACAATATCATCATATTTGCCTCCCAGTCAAGGTCAAATTATTGTCACATATAGTAATACGATCATGTAGTAATTTGAGCAAAATAACACAGTTACTAACAGTTACTAATGCATAAGCAAATGCCTCCTGACCTTAATCTAGCTTTCTACTTTCAATTGATTAATCCTTCTCAATTCCAACCCATCTTCATCTTCCTTTCAGTAATTGTGCTACGGAGCTCTTTGAGCTTTCTGTGTTGATTTCTGTTTAATAAAGCTTGGGAGTTTTAGTTTTAGTTACAGCCCTCACTTGTATACATTCTGTTTTCCTAGGTGTAAAGATTAGCTCTGGGTGTTTCAGTTCTGTCCTAATCTTACACCAGATTTACCCCCTAAATCTTAGAAGACTTTTAAGTGTGGAATACTGTAGTTCAAGTCTCTAAGAAACTTAAGCTTTTTAGGCCCCTCTTCTCATTCCCGAAACCTGTTTTTAATGTGAGAACAGATATTAAAAGATAGCTAATAAGCATAAATAATAAATGAGGGGCTGGGCACAGTGGCTCACGCCTGTAATCTCAGCACTTTGGGAGGTCGAGGTGGGAGGATCACCTGAGGTCAGGAGTTCGAGACCAGCCTGGCCAACATGGCAAAAACCTGTCTCTACTAAAAATACAAAAATTAGCCGGGCATGGGTGGCACGTGCCTGTAATCCCAGCTACTTGGGAGGATGAGGTAGGAGAATCACTTGAACCTGGGAGGTAGAGGTTGCAATGAGCTGAGATTGCGCCACTGCAGTGCAGCCTGGGCAACAGTGAGACTCTGTCGGGGAAAAAAAAAAAAAAAAAGAATAAATAAGGGGAAATCCTATTTATAACACTTATAAAATAGTACTGTTCCCTCGTATGTTAAAACAAATTGCCCATGGGTACACTAAATGTCCAGATTTCACCACTACACAATACATTCATGTAACACAACTGCACTTGTACCCCTAAATCCATAAAAATAAAACATTTGATTTCAAAAGAAAAAGAAAACCCAAATTTTTCTAAGTCCAGTGGCTTATATTTCCTTTTCTTTCCCTGGTATTAATACTGGGTAGAAAAAGAGAATGACTCTTTCTTTTAATAGAAAAGAAAAATATAAAATCTCTTGCAGTTAAATACTAACCACAATTAAAAGTCTGATTTTAAAATTTAATCAAAAGGCCAGGCATGATGGCTCATACCTATAATCCAAGCACTATGGGAGGCTGAGGCAGGAGGATCGCTTGAACCTAGGAGCTTGAGACCAGCCTGAGCAACATGGCAAGAACCCGTCTCTACAAAAAATACAAACATTGGCTGGGTGCGGTGGCTCACACCTGCAATCCCAGCACTTTGGGAAGCTGAGGCGGGTGGACCACCTGAGGTCAGGAGATTGAGACCATCCTGGCTAACACAGTGAAATCCCCTCTCTACTAAAAATACAAAAAACTAGCCGGGCGAGGTGGCACATGCCTGTAGTCCCAGTTACTCGGGAGGCCGAGACAGGAGAATCCCTTGAACCCGGGAGGTGGAGGTTGCAGTGAGCTGAGATCACACCACTGCACTCCAGCCTGGATGACAGAGTGAGACTCCATCTCAAAAAAAAAAAAAAAAAGAAAAAGAAAAAAAGAAAAAAAAATGAGCTGGGTGTGGTGGTGTGTCCCTGTAGTTTCAGCTACTTGGGAGGCTGTGGTGGGAGGATCACTTGAGCTCTGGAGGTCAAGGCTGCAGTGAGCCATGAATGTGCCACCTCACTCCAGCCTGGGCAACAGTGAGGCCTTGTCTTAAATAAATAAATAATCAATTAAAAAATTAGCCAGGCATTGTGGCACACACCTGTAGTCCCAGCTACTTGGACGGCTGCATTGGGAGGATTGCTTGAGCCTGGGAGGTTGAGGCTGCCTAGGAGGCAGAGGTTGCAGTGAGCCAAGATAATGCCTCAGCACTTCAGCCTGGGCAACAGAGTAAGACTCTGTCTCAAAAAAAAAAAAAAATCAATTTACCTTAATTTGTAATAATTCATAAAATTGTTATAAATTTCTTTAATTTCTTCCCTAATACATTAGGGGGAAAAAAACGCATTTTTTTTCTTTTTTTTTTGAGATGGAGTCTTGCTCTTGTCACCCAGGTTGGAATGCAATGGCGCGATCTCGGCTCACCGCAACCTCTGCCTCCCGGGTTCAAGTGATTCTCCTGCCTCACCCTTCCGAGTAGCTGGGATTACAGGCACCCGTCACCATGCCCAGCTAATTTCTGTATTTTTAGTAGAGACGGGTTTTCACCATGTTAGCCAGGCTGGCCTCAAACTCCTGACCTCATGATCCACCCACCTCGGCCTCCCAAAGTGTTGGGATTACAGGCGTGAGCCACTGCACCTGGCCAAAACCCATGCCATTTGAAGCAGGGGGTGGTGGGGTGGGGAGGCAAGATTTAAATTACCCTAACATTATATTTACAGAAATAATTTAGTAAGTTGTCTTTATACATTTTTGTACATCCATTTAGAAAGTCATTACTTTTTTTTTTTTTGAGAGAAGTCTTGCTCTCATCCCCCAGGTTTGAGTGAAGTGGCTTGATCTTGGCTCAAAGCAACCTCCACCTCCCAGGTTCAAACGATTCTCCTGCCTCTGCCTCCCAAGTAGCTGGGATTAAGGTGCCTGCCACCACGCCCGACTAATTTTTGTATTTTTCAGTAGAGACAGGGCTTCACCATGTTGGCCAGGCTGGTCTCGAACTCCTGACCTCAGGTGATCCACCTGCCTCGGCCTCCCAAAGTGCTGGGATTACAGGCATGAGCCACTGCCAAAAATCATTACTTTTAAGTATATGTGAATTGCTTAGAGGTTTTCCAATAGACTAGGGCTGCTAGAATTAAAAACGCTTTCTTTTTCCCCCTTGGGGCTTCTCAGAATTTTACTCATTCCTTAAAGCTGATAATTTCATATAAATGATCTTAATTTGGGAAAAGCATATTTACCTTCTAAGAAAACAAACAAATTCCTTTTCCTCTTCAGCCCTTTTGACCATTAGATAAATTGAGTAAATTTGGACTGGGAAGACAACAGACCAGAATCAGTTAAGAAGCAAAACTGAGACTAGAAACCACTTTCTTACTGGGAGCCAGAGACAAAAGAAAGCTTCTGAGTAAAATTTTAAATTTTATTAAGAAACAATCAGACCAACCCAGGCAACATAGCAAGACCCCATCTGTACAAAAACAAAAACTTAACCAGGCGTGGTGGCGTGCTACTTGGGAGGTTAGGAGTAGCTGGAGGTCCCAGCTACTTGGGAGGTTGAGGTGGGAGCATCGGTTGAGCCCAGGAGGTTGAGGCTGCAGTGAGCCATGAATGTGCCACTGCACTCCAGACTCCAGCCTGGGCTGTAACAGAGCAGACAAAAAAAAAAAAAAAAAATGTGACAACATTGGAAAGATTTCATGGTTACTTCCTAGGTGGGTGTCACAACCTTAGCCTTAGTTATCGACTGGACCCCAGGGTCCAGTTTGTTTGTTTTTCTTTTTTTCCCTTTTCCTTTGTTTTTCTTTTTTGGAGACAAGTTCTTGTTCTGCCACCCAGGCTCGAGTGCAGTAGTATGATCATAGTTCACTGCAGCCTTGAACTCCTGTTCTCAAGCAGTTCTCCCACTTCAGCCTCCCAAGTTGCTAGGCGTGTGCCACCATGCCTCGGGAATTTTTTTCTTATATAGAGACAGTGTTTCACTTCGTTGCCCGGACTGGTGTCCAATACCTGGCCTCAAGCAATACTCCCACCTTGGCCTCCCAAAGCGCTGGGATTACAGGCATGAGCCACTGGGTCCAGCTTCTCAAAAAAAAAAAGTCTGTAACTGTTTAGTATTATGAAATACCAATATTGCAAAAATATGCCAAAGAATTAAAGCATCCCACAATTAAGAAAAGAGATTTGATCTACATCTTAGTTGCCTATGTGTTTAAGCAACTTCTGGGCTATACAATTTAAGTTTAAATCAGAAATGACTGCATTAATATAGCGAAGTGTCCCCTAGCATTTTCATTATCAAGATGAATATATGTTCCAATTGCATACATTCGGTCAACTGGCAGATTTTAAAGGACAAGGATCTGATTAATGACAAATAGTGCTGCTTAATTTTGCTAAAATTACAATAACAACTGCTACATATACATACAAATATGTATGTATATATACATTTTTAAAGTAGAGACAGGGTCTTGCTATGTTGCCTAGGCTAGTCTCAAACTTCTGGCCTCAAGCCCTCCTCCCACCTCAGCCTCCCAAGGTGCTG